TCATACACCGATTCCTCCAGGGCAGGACGGTGGATACCCCATGAACACTGTGTGGATAAGTCCAGCTGCTGAGGTTGAGGAAACATCTGTTCAAACATTAGTGACCAAGAGCTGGTGAGCTTGACCTCACTGCCCCAAGACAAAAAAACAACAGTAAAGGAAGTACAGGACTTCCTCTAGTTTATCTCCAATCTCTCAATCACAGCTTAGTGTCACAATTTTATTGCGTCTTCACTAAAAGTGCCAAATTCTTTTCCCTTTCGGCTCAGTAGTGTCACAAAATCTGATTCTAATTTAACTTGTCTTGCCTTAATGAATCTATTGTCTGTTTCTCAGACGTAGTTTTTGTTGAATAAAGCTGGCACCCAGATCAAGGCGAGTGTGAGAATCACAGCCCTTTGATGCACATCCTGTTTGATTTTGTCTTTGCTGACTGACATATTGTCTCTATTAAAGGCTAAAAATAAAAAATAACCGTCAAAAAGCTTTCAGAAACGCGGAAGCGCCACAGAAATTCACCGAAATCTCAGTAAGTACAGTGTGCACACTGAGACTGCCCTGGAAGTTCATGCAGTGTTGAGACACCTGTTCGGTTCCCACAACACCCCAGAATTAGATCCAACATACTACATGAATAAAGCACTTTAGAGTTTAATGGAATATCTCATCCCAGTCTATTTACTACCTATGTAAACTCTGTTATGTGCATTAGCATGGCTAAACTCACAACACTACCTCTATACACTCAAGTACTAATAAACAATATACAAGTATTTTGAGAGTAAAAATTACAATGAACAAAACTCTGCTTTCTCTTCCATAAATCTCTTTGCAGTAACCTTTGCACCAGCACTGTGTCTGAGAGCCGAGGCCAGGGCAGAAATACCTCAACATGCACAACCACAAATCACAAAAAGAGGCTTCAAATCTTCTGTCTCAAAATACAAAGTCAGTGTATGTGTATGTGTATTTTTTTTTTTTTTTTTTTTACAAGCTGTTTCAATATCAGAAGCTAATTTCAGTTTTTCAAATGTGGGCCTTAATGAAAATGTTAATGAGAATCACTGTTCCATGAAGAGCATATTAAAGGCCCTGAAAACAAATTCCCTCAATCAGCTTCCTGCTATAACTGATTCTATCTTCTCCCAAAGCTGGAAGACCTTTTCTCACTAGTGTCAGGTGAGCAAGGTTCAGTTGGAAAGAGGTGATGTCACAACAAGTGCACCAATCAGGATTTAGCAACAATGATCAATCCGTTCAAGCCCTCAGATCAGCTGAGTGTTAATGGAAGTTTGCAGGGTCTTTAATGCTTAGAAAGAAGTTTTGTGTGCTTCTTAATTGACAGATATCATTGCCTCAATCCATCACAGCCAGCCATGGTCACTGAAACTTTCTCTGTCTTGCTTACTTCTACCCTGGCTTCCTTTCCTTTGCTCTAATGCAATGCAAGCTGCAAAACATCCATTCAGCTGACATCAACAACAACTGAAATGTCCCTACATCCATGAATGAACCCTAAACTCTCACTATATAAACACAGGAGCGATCAGTCTGCGGAAATGATAAAGGTGATGTACAGGCAGGAGCATATAAATCCAATCCAGTCTTTTAATTAGTACGCCACTAGTTTGTGCTGTGTCTTTCCCATCATGTAACAAGGCTCCTTGTCAAAGACGTTTCTGCCACAAGCAGCATCACTTCCATACAGTATAGAGTGACAACAGGAGGGTGGAAGGAAGGGTGTGTGTGAATGTGCGTGTTTGCAGAAAGAAGGAGAAGTAAGTGTTGCCAGTGAGCTGTGCTTTCGATCCCTAAGGCGAACGGGACAGAGCTGTGTGTTGATGGGTGAGTCCGTTACGGTGTGTTAATGGTTTGAGGGAGGAGCGCGTAATTCAGAGTATACACATATCATACATATAGAATATTTTTAACAATTGTATTCCCTGCCAGTAGTGATACTATAGAAAATGTGCTTTCTGACAGGTAAAGTGTGTGTACACATGTGTGTTTGTGTGTGTGTGTGTGTGTGTGTGTGTGTGTGTGCGTGTGCACAGGTGTGATTAGGTGATGAGTGTGTTCAGTAGTGAGCACCTCTTTGTCCAGGCCACGTAAACAAACCTCGGGCAGCAGAGAGCGTGCTCAGAAAGGCTCAGAAAGACATCAAAGATAGAGGAAGGAAAGGAGAGGAAGGAAGGAAAGGAAAGAAGGAAGCATTATTCTAACAGCACAGGTTAATAGGAATACCAAAGATAATATTGCATCTCCTAGAACTAGCTTCAATTGCTCAGTGTATATAAAATTGGAAGAAAGCTATACTGTGATATTAGTTACATTTCACTTTATAATTCTAAAATAATTTATACCAACAATAGTTATATTTTATAGAGTATTTACATAAATACATCATCATATAGTAATATTATTGTCAACACATCATTATAGAAACATACACCATACATATGTGTATATAGTCACGTTATAGCCACACGTACACACACATACAATGAATATACAATCAAAATGAACTATTGCAATGCTGTGTTGGGTAAAACTCCATCGAACATTCACATCTTCTCAAGTAAGTATAAGCTCGAACAGAGGAGTTCAGATGTATTGCTATATGAAAGACCAAAGTTCAGCCCAGCCTCACACAGTCGCAGCTGAACGTTTCTCGTAAAATCCGAGTATTGCTTATTGTAGAGTTGCTCTCCTCTGATGTGATAATCTGGATGCAGAGAACAGGAAACAGAGAGAGGAGCTTTGAGCCCCTCAGTCAGTAGGTCAGACAGTTCTGCCGCTGTTGTCAGGCAGAAAGTTTTTTTTTCCTCTCCAGCGGACTGATCAAAACTGAAGCAGTGTTGGATATGTGGGTCCGTCAGCTGGGATAGAAAGGCAGCCCACTCGGACGGGACAGAAAAAACAGGTGGGCATGTGAGCAGCCAGGTTAGGTGTGAAGAGACTATCCAGCAACCTGCTGCCTCTAGAAGTCAGAGAAGAGATCTTGGGGACCCAGGTGAATGATAAAAGGAGCGATGGTCCGCGGCTGGTAGAAGGGATTGTCAATGAAAAGTCCGCCTGCAGGGGGATGAAGAACAGAGAGAGAGCAGGAGTAATTACTATATGAAGATCTATAAATCTATAAACAAAATATGAGGCTGATATACATAAAGTTTTCTTCATGTCTTTGACAATAATATGAGTTTGATAGGTTAAAAAAATTAAATTATATTTTTTTTAGGACAAGGTTAGGCTTTTGAGTAGGACTTGGAAATGTTCTAGTTTAAAAAGGTTATTGTCTGGGTGGCATTAATAACACTTAAGTGCATTAAAGTGCCTATGGGAGTGACCGCTAGATCACATTAAAGGAATGGTTGGACATTTTGGGAAATGGACTTATTTACTTTCTTGCTGAGAGCTAGATGAGAAGATTGATGCTGCCATTGTGGTAAATATGAGGCTACAGCCTTAGCTTAGGTTAACATAAAGACTGAAGGCAGGGGGAAACAGCCCCCTGCTTTCAGTCTTTATGCTATGCTAAGCTAAGCGAAATGGCAGCTGGCTGTAGCCAAAATATCAAACTATTCCTTTAATGAATGTGAAGTAGGAGCTGTAGGAGAGAGCTAATGACAAGTATTTATTCAACAAATATTTATTCAAAAATTAATGCAGTGGCGGTGGGATGCTAACCACAAATGAGACACAGGTAAAGCAGTTTTGGAAGTAAATACTCGCTGTGGGGCTTTTGGCTTTCTGTGCACTAAAAAATAATTCAACCTCAAACCAAAAGTGTGAAAGAAAAAATACACATAAAGCTGGAAATAATCTTCAATCATGTAAGATTGAAGTGAAGCTCTTGATGTGAATAAGACAAATATCAGTTCTAAGGTTTTATAAAAACTCAATGGAGCTCAACCAACCATTGGACAAGATACTGGATCCTCTCATCCAATGGCTGCGCCTCATAGCCGTAACCATGGAGACGTCGTCAGGGGTTATCTCTCGCTGGTTGGATGACCAGGACGTGGTGAAGGGCCAGCTTAACTCTGTCTTGACTGGCACTGACCATTGACCTTTGGTAAGTCGACAGAATAACCTGAAGTATCTCCTCTACTGTACTTCATTTAGCTGGGCTCCTCTTTTTATGTTTTAACCAATTAATCATTTCATTAATTAAATCAATTTAGCAATCATTTGTTTTTTTTACCTGCAACATTAGGTCATTCTTGTGACAAATTTTTAAACCTTTGTTCGAAAATTCGAGAATCATAGAGTGACTGTTTTGAAGCCATGTTTCAGTGGCTCAGGTGATGCTGGTCCTGATGGGAAGGCTGAGCAAAAGGGTGCAAAAAACAAAAACAGCAATGATATGGAAATAACGAAAGAATAACATAAAACATATTGACAGTGACGTTTGAATTCACGTGGGTCCCTTATTGCTGCTTTTGACTGACTGTAAGGTGACAACTACATGCACAAGTCAAGTGAAAAAAATGCGTGGATCTAGATGTAGTATGTGTAGATGTAATATAGAGTTGGCTGTGACAACATATAAAAGCTGTCCATATGTACTGTAGGTGATAGCTGTGGCAAATCTGCCAAATATTAATCCACATAAGGTAATGAGATCGTGCAGCTGAATGCAAGATGCGGGAACTAGGAAGAGCTTTCTAAATTCATCCTTTGTCTTCTAGCCTTTCTCTCTGAATATCTATAAGCTGAGGGTCAAAGGGATGTAACGAGAGGCGCTGAGGAACGTGGAAAGCTTGAAATTCAATCAGCGGGAATGTATGAGGGTGGAATATTAAAGCTTCATGTTCAAATGTTAGTTTAGGTCACAGGATTGTGCATCAGTTTAAAGAGTGGGTAAATCCTTTCACATGTTATAACTGCATGACAAAGGCCAAATCCACTACAAAACAAAGCCAGCCAAACAAAAAGGTGCTACTGCATCGGCTGAAAGCCTTTAAATCAGATATACACCAGGCAGTGTTCAGCTTTTATAGGAGATAAACTTTATTCATTTTTCAACATTATTTATTTAATCCTATACATCCTTCACACAGCTCACATTATTATTTTCACAAACAATGTGTGTGTTGTGTGTATTATATTGCAAAGGCTATCCTCCTTAAAGCAAAGCATAAGCACAATAATAAAAGGTTGATATATATATAATTTAGACTCAAAGAATGAGGTAACAATTCACAGTACAAATCCTTCAAGTTTTTGTTTATCTCTTAAGAACTTAAACCTGCAATTATTTTTTTCATATTCATAAAAGTTTTTGGAAACAGTATGAAAATTAAACAAAAAAAAAAAAGGCAAAAAAGCGCTTTTACAAATCTTCAGCTCAAGTCCTTAATCCTCTCCCCATGATATTGTAGAAAAAAAAAACAAAACAGACTGAGTTTCCCTTCTAGAAAAAGGTGCGTTTGGTATGTATGTCTCCTGTGCTAAAAGAAGTGGTAGTGGGGGACGGGGTAGGCGGGCACTTTCATGACAGGCAACAGAAGCATTCTCTTGGGCAAACCTAGAGGGGAGACATGAGAAGAGCACAGCTCTGCATGAGTCCAGGGCAACAAATAACCAAGCGTTTGTATGCTGACTACACTACACACTATGCTACAAGTACGTCCAACAAACAGCCCCTGTACAACAGGGGTCCCAAAGGAGGGGGTGTGTAAGTGTGTCAGAACAGGCAGGAAGTGTTTGTAGTCATGGTCACAGCCTTCATCAGTGGTTAGAGGTGAGAAGGAGAAAGAGTCAGAGGTAAAGTGAAAAAAACAGATTCATTTCAGTTTGTTACAACTTGGGTCTTGTTTTAGTCATTTTGGTTTCTTTGGTTATGGTAACATTGGGGTCAGTTGCTGAGATCTGATAACACCGTGACAGTCTGAAGGGCAGGAATCACAAGCAGACTGATGATCATACAAGTTGTAAAGAAGCCAACTTTATGTACCACTTCTGCGGAGATGAAAGTGAAAACTAGATTAAAACTAACACTCATATAAACTAGTGAATATCCTACATTGCACAGGAAAACTAATATGGACACACAACACCTGTAAGAACAGTAGGTCAAAAGTTTAACATTTGACTTTTCAAACCAGTTTGAGGTTTGAGGAAAATCTGAGGTTTTGTTATTACAAGCGATGTTGCCACATCCCCAGATCTCAGCACTTCACCAGATGCTGTTATTTTTACTGAGAAGGACAGACAAACCGCAAATTACTGCCCAAGTTGTAATAAAGTGGAATAATCCTTTCAGAGAGAAGATCGAGCAACAGAAATTGCTTGTCTGTATAGGCATTTTGGAAGAGCTTTTGGAATAAAGTTCTATGATAAAAAGTTTTATGTTCTGTGATTTTAACGTTCTGTGTTTTATGATGGAATATTCTGTGTTTCACAGTGTTCTAGCAAGCACAGCAGCTTTCTCGAATGCGTTCTTAGTGTTTGCCAAAAAAAAAAAAAAATTCCAAAGCAGCAATGTGCGTCAGAGCAAGACGCAGGAAACAAGATGGAAGTGTTGCATTCAAAAGATAAAGGAGTAGTTTTCATGTGCATGTGTTTCATGTGAGTTAAGTTAAGCATGCACCAACATGGCTGACTAAGATCTTTATTTATACATATTTGGATTATTCTGGCCAGTAAAAGTCAATTAAAGTAGATTTGATATTTACAATATTCTTCCTGAATTGCACCTGACAATCCAAGACTCATATTTATCCTCCTCCACATCTGCAGCTCTACATTAAAAGTCAACAGCAAGCAAAATGAAAAAATTAGATTTCCACTTAAACAGTAGGTATAAATTATATAATTTTGTTATTTTGGTGTTTTGTGCCTGATTTAATTCCAGAACCCAATTCTGAGTATAAATATCTGAGTATAATCCTAGCCTTTGTCTCTATCTTTTCTCATGGTCAGCTAAAATCACAAAGATCACCCACCAGGATATGTGTCGTGTTGATGAGTAATGGGGCAGAGATGCACAGTGTACAATGATTTATGCTTCATCCACCACCAGATACAGGAAATTCTATCACCTATTTATTAAAGTCTTTTTATTGGCCAGTCATGAAGCAAACTATTAAATGGCTTTTCAAATTTTTTGAATGTCAAGGCCATTGACAAAATTTACGAAAAAAACAGAATAAGAAGAATGACACTGAAATGTGCTTGTCAGATGTAAGCAGCACCTACTTATTGAATTCTGAGTGTTGCAGTGAGTGTGGCAGTCACAATAACACAGGAACAGTGTGTGGATGCCAGGGACTGAAATGAAACACCCCGAACGAACGCAGAGCTACAGCTCTCATAAACACAGTAACTGAGGTGCGCTTCATATACAGAGCTGCTGGGTTCTCTGGGGGGCACCAAACGTCAGCCTGGAGCCTCAGACCGGTTTCTCCCAGCACATAAGACCCATTCAAACTCCAAGCTGTAGGATGGAACAGAGGGGCCTCCCAATGCTACATGTGTACACACACTCCACAAGGCTGAGTCTGTTGAGGTCAATATAACTGTGTTTGACAGAGGGATGTATGCAATGAATTCTGCACCAATACCTGTGCTTGTTAAAGGTCAAGCACTAGTATAGATTTTAGCCTACAAGTGTCTTTAATTCCTGTGTGTGTATGTGACAGAGAGAGAGAGAGTGATCTCAGTGACCACTTTCAGCATTGAGGACATAGAAACCCCTAAGCAGCAGTAACATGACAGGAGCAGTGCTGCAGTGCTGAAGCTACCCTGCCGCTCTGTCTTAAATAACAGTTTGGGGTTGGGAGGGTGGGGGGTGGGCAAAGTGCAGAACTCGCACTATGCCTTCTGCTAATCTGAACAGAAATGACAATGAAGGCAGCACAGACTGTGTGTCTGGGTTATTAAAAGTCCAGGAACGACTGTATATCGAGTTAAGAGGTGATTGTTCTATTGTGCAGATTTCTATGCTATTTCAGTTCAAGATAGTACGTAGCGGAAAAGGACTGCATGCACAGGTGTGTGTGTGTGTGTGTGTGTGTGTGTGTGTGTGTGTGTGTGTCTCATCATAACCAATAACCAATCCGTTTCTGGGAGTAGTGTTCCAACCATCACAGATAAGTGTGTGAGTGGCAACGAGCAGATTAAGAAACAACTGGTGAGCGGACACTTATCCAAAGCACAGACAGATTTGTTTAATTATGACTGAAATTCAGCGCCAAACCCTAAAACGTGGATTAGAATGGAATAAGATTATAAAGTGATTTTGAGAAAAAAGGGAGCAACTGGAGCCAAAAGGGCGGTGGACAAGTAGGTTGGAAGTGTAACATAAAACCTACTGAAGATTCATTTACCTACTGATGGTTAGCAGTTAAAGTAGGTTGAGGGACAGAAGGTAGAGGAAGGGAAGAGAGCGATATAGATGGTTGAAGGGTGAGGGCGAAAGGACGACAAGTGGACAGGAAAACTAACAAGAAGCACGTACCGTATGCAGGAGCAGCTGCTGCAGCAGGGCTGTAGCCATACGGTGTCCCGAAGCCTGTGGGGAGGAGGTTACAGGGTCTAATTCAGTTGTGCACTTGTTTAATTCCAGGCTGCACTTTTCAACAGTAAGTTTAGATGAGTGTTTTGGCCTAAATTCTAGCAGACAGCTGTGGGCTCAGGGTAATAGACCTGAGTGGAAGCTACACTCCTTCCTAACAAGATCAGCGTGAGTCTGAGTCATACTGTAGGGTCAAACATTAGTGGACGTTCAGCACAAGCTGAAAATATATCCCAAAATAATCAGTGGGCAGTTTTGCTGCTTGATTGTCTGACAACATTGTTTATCACTGAGCTCTCAAGCAGACATTAGCCACTGTCGTCTGTACTGTAGGCTACTGTAGGGTATTTCTGAAAGCCTGTGATATTTCCTATACAACTGCAGGGAAGAACTGGCAGCAGGCAGCCTAAAGCAGAAGAAAATGTCAGTACTGTAAAGCCAACAGTAAAAGAAAATGCCAACTCTGCACAAACCACTATGTAAAATATAAAAAAAAGAAGACTCTATTCCTCTTGGACAGGTTATCTATCATGGCACAATACATCAAAATAAAGTAATTATCAGCTGATTTAATTTAGTGTTCTAATGCATTTGTATTATTACACAGGTTGATAAAATTGCAGTAGTAAAAATATTGCAAAAAAAAAATCTTCAACAACAACAGTACACACAACTATCCTCTTACTACCTGGCGTGACATATCCAGGTGCAGCTGCACTGACGAAGGCTCCTCTTGCAAGGGCTGCTCTTCCTCTCCCTCTGGCTACCTGAGCTGCTACTGCTGAGGCTGCTGCCGCCGCCGCCAGGGCTCCTTTAGTCTGAGCACAGACAGGCAGTGTATACTATATGTGAGTGGGTTTTAAAAATTCATAATGCAGACAGATACATACAGCATTTAGATACACAGATGTATATTTGCATAAATATAGTGCACAGAAAACAAAAGCGCAAACACACACACACACACACACACACACACACACACACACACACACACACACACACACACACACACACACACACACACACACACACACACTTCTCCAAGACAATGTTCCAATGCATTACGGGCCTCGTTGTTCACAGATCTGCACACAGGCTCAGTGACGAAATAAGTGGACGAGTGGCGATCTGATAACTGTCAAGTATTGATCTGATTAGACACTTGTTAAACTCAAGAGTTATTGATTACTGTTAGCTGAACAAATTGGACAAATAGTCCCAGTGGTCCACAGAGATGATACTGATCAGAAAAGAGGTTTAAATGCAGTCATTTTTAAAGCTGCAGTGACACTTTGGCTCTCAAGTAAAACATAAAAGGAGTGGTTTGATGGTTTCTTTGTTCTTTCATTCTCTGAGTGTAAATGCACGTGCCCCAGACAACATCAGTGCCCTCTGTGTGAGGTATTGTGTGTGTTATATATATGTGTGTGTGTGTGTGTGTGTGTGTGTGTGTGTGTGTGTGTGTGTGTGTGTGTGTTTATGTGTGTGTGTGTCTCCTTACCTGAGGCAATATCTTCTTTTTCTTGTTTGCAGCTGCGTTGGGACCAGAGAAGAGTTTTTCCAGAGCTGCCAGAGCAGCGCTGGCCTTTGCTACCTTTTTGTTGGGGCCTGCCCCACGAAACTTCTGCCCATCCACCTCCACCTGACACACACACACACACACACACACACACACACACACACACACACACACACACACACACACACACACATATTAAACAAAAGGAACACTGGTTTTGGAGCCACATTTTCATTTTTCCGTGTTTGTCTATTTTAATTATTGTTCTTGTCCTTTCTAATAGTGGTTTCACTCAGTTCAGTCAAAACAAACAGTCGCACAATAATGTTGCCCAAAACCCATGTGTTTACCAGTCATCAGTAACTCAGAGAGTCTGGCTGAACAGGACAGCTTGTTTAGCGATGCCCTGCTGTCACGCAGGCCTGCTAATCAATCAGCAGAGCGATGGAGCAGCCAGCCGTGTCGGAAAACAACACACCCCACAGAGAAAAAGCTTGCTCCAGGAACCAAGTTGACTGATTGACTCTACCAGTGATCAGGCTCTCTCTCTGTGTGTGTGTGTGTGTGTGTGTGTGTGTGTGTGTGTGTGTGTGTGTGTGCGTGTGCGTGGCTTTGCCTCTGTATACATCTCCCCCTGGCCACGCTGCACGTGGATGTGTGCTGGTGAAATATGAACATTTTTTATTACATCTTCGTGGTGATATGTCATGGCTCGACACCGCTGCACACATGTACATACTTTATAATCCTACACCGGCGTGAGTCTGTGTGTATGTGAAGCGCTCACCTCCATAAGAAAACGTTTGTCATGGCTGCCTCCACTTTCAGAGATAAGCTCATATTTGAGGCCTCTTCTCTTCTCGTTTAGCTCCATGACGGGATTCTTCCCACTTGCTGTCAGTATGGGACCCTGAGTTCGCACCTGCAGGGTGAGGAGGTTAGTGAAAAAATGTAATTTTAAAAGCATCTTCATAGCTTTACTTAAAAAAGCACAAGGTGGAGAGTAAATCTGAGAGACGGAGCATGATGTGCGTGACCAAGAGCATGACTGTGAACGGGGAGAAGATTTGCTTTGGATACCTTTTATGTTCTTAAAGCAATGTGGCTTTTACATTTCAATCACGTAAAACCGATACCAGACTTCGCCTTTGAAAAAAAAGCATTAGAACTGCATCACTTTATCAGCACGTTTTTTTAATCCCACCTCCAGTGTGTTGGAACTGTCCGAGGAGTGTGTTGGGTTATTGCTAATGTGTGAGGATGTCTCGCTCTTCCCCTCGCCATCCGATTTCTCATCTGAACTCATGGGGTCCAGGTCTGAGTCGAAACCCGTCGGGTAGCCCATTGCCTGGAGAACCTAGAGAGGGAAGACGACGACGAAAAGCCATCATGGCAGGAAAGAAACAGCAGACAACGAGATCAAGCCAAAAATAAAGGATCTTTCAAGATTTGGACATAAACAGTCAAATGCCAACAGTTGTTCTGCATAGGAAACCTACAAAACATTTTTGTCGCAGGTTTACCTAGACATACCAAACTGGTAAGATTAAAGGTGAAATCCCCAACTTTCCATATATTTGAGAGATAGTGACACTACAACAAAGATGGCGGAGCATCCAGAGGCATCCTTTTACCATCCAGAGGTGCCCTTACACCAGAGTGTAACAGGTTAGAATAGCCCGCTGAATGAAAATGAAATTGTCCTTGCGGCATTTTTGTTAATTACCTTGCTAAACTGTTGAAATTCAACATTAAAATGGCATGAGATAGATTCTGAAGGACACCAATACATTGATGTCTCTGTTTGTGCGATGGCTCTGTACAGCAGTCTAACAACACTCCACCCATGTTGATGATACTCTATTTTAACAAAAGTCGCTTTTAGAGGTATCACTGCTGGAGCACACCGCACGTACTGACATGACAGAGTTGAATTGAACTTGGACTATGTTTACAATAAAGCCGTCATGAAACATCCGTCTGCACAGAGTCACACGAGTCCTGGACGGACAGCACACAGGGCAGCAGAGTGATTCTTTATGCAGGCAGGAGAGAAAAAGGAGTATGACAAGTTTTTGACCGAAATAGGCGATTGTGTTACAGCTGCTGAACTGGCCGCTACAGTGAGAGAGGGTGTGTGAGAGTACAGGAGATGGAGAGGAAGTGAGGGAGAGAAGGTGAGATCAAAAGGTTGAGTACACGAAGAAGAGAAAGTGAGAGAGAAGGAGAATGGAAAAGGGGGGAGAGATGGGGAGAAAGAGCCTTTTATGGGAATGGAGCGGATAGCGGATTATCCCAGCTCTGTGCTCTGGAGAGCCTCTTTGTTCACAACCACTTTGGGATTACAAGGATTTGCCCACCTCGATCCTTCCTCTCTCTCTCTCACACACACACACACAAACGCACACGCACACGCACGCGCACACACACACACACACACACACACACACACACACACACACACACACACACACACACACCAATGGGCATATGCAGACAAAACATATTTATAGTAACAGTGAGGTCTAGCTGCAGCTGGAGCTTAGACAGTTCTTCAGGTAGGCAAAAAAGAATCTTTTCTTCTTTTTATTAGTGGCTCTTTTGGGATTTCTTTTATGCATAAATGTCCACATATACAAAAAACATAAATCACAGAGGATCAAATTAAGATATTAAGTGGACTAATTACACATTATTCTCCCATCAGTCACACATGTACGTCGTCCACTTTGCTCCTTTCCCTTCATTCTTACCTTGACAGCGACGTGGAGCTTGGCGGTCTTCTTGGAGGATCCGGATGCTTCATAAATGGATCCATCTAGATCCACAGACATGGTGAAGACCGGAGCGTGAACCGGGCCCGACTGGGACAGCAGGCGGTACTGCAGCCCTGGCCGGATCTGGTTCAGCCGCATCAGAGCGTTCATTGGCTGGTTGGAGTCTATGGCTTTACTGTCCAAGACTAATGCAAAAAAAAAAAAAAAAAGAGGGAGTATGGTTACAGTAAAAAGAAGAGAGTAGAGTAGATTTCATAAGGGGTGTGTATCAATTACCCAGCTGGAGTCAGACAGATTTGGCCATTTGGGAGATGCTGTATGCAATAAATCATATTTTCTAACAGTTTTCTAATCTCTGGCTTGTTGTTTTCATGATGAATAAAGGTGCTTCTCTATTTTCTTTCTCTTTCAATCATGGTCCTCCTGTTTGTCAATATCTAAAAATGCCTCTCTGCCTCCATTAGACGTGGTTCATCTTCTCCTTGTACGAAGAAAGAGCTGGGGATGGTTGGGTGGCCTACTAAAACGCCAGCAATCAATACTATTGATCTGCCTCCAAGGGATTGAAGGAGGGTGGAAGGTAGAGAGGCAGACAGGGACAAAGACAAAAAAATATAGACAATGGGAAGAGAGGCAAGAATATAACTACTTCCATCTTATAGGATAGTATGGATTCTTATCCCCAGTCTCTTTCCAGCTTTAGATTGGGTCCAATGATCAATGGATGAAAACACAAACAACATAAAGAAACAATCAGATAATCACACTCTGTCAATGTTCATTTCTTACTGTTCCTTCTTGTACCTTTCCTCAGATTCCTCTTCATCTTCTTAATGAGGTCCTTGTCATCCATTGCTCCATCCTCGTATGGCCTCTTCAGACCTAAACCTGAGAGGGGAGAGGCACAGAGGAAGAGTTGGAGAGGTACTTATCAATCACTGACTACAAGAAATGTTTATACGAACACGCACAAAGGCAGCCGTGTGTGACGGAAAGACAGGGAGGCACAGTCGCAGACAAACAAACAATAGATCAGCACGAGCATAAAGATGGATAAATTCACAGATAAGATAAACAGAGCAGAGAGGCGGACCAGCAAACAGCCAAACAATGAGGAAGACATATAAGCTCCTTTCCAACATGCATCTTAATGCATGCATTTCCATGAAAGCCACTTTGGAAATTTGCCAATTCAAGATCTTATGAGATTTGTCTTATGAGTCTTTTTCTAGTGTGAAACAAAAGTGGAAACATTCCTGCATATGGCACGTACGAGTTAAAGAGATTTCTCCAAGGCCACCGTGTCTGTGGTGTGACTGGAGAAAAAGCAGCCACATATCAAACAACCTATCCCATCTTTAAGAGGTATTTTTTGCTCAACTTCTCAGTCTTATTGACGCTGCTGCCAGTGGTTGTGTGTAGACAAACAACTTCATACGTTCAGATAGGTCACGTTATGTTTCAAAGGATTTCACAAGCCCTCACCTGAAGCTGACACTGTAATTGAACCCATGTATGTTCCAAGTCAAAGTGAGAAAGGAGCAGACAGAGCAACAGGGACAGAGAGAAGGATGGATTCACACAGCCTGAAAGCCTGAAGAGGCAGATAATCAGGCGTATTCACAGACTGAAAGACAGACGCGTGGCGGATGGAATGGATGAAACACAGGAGATGCACGCAGGTGAAGACGAGGGGGAAAGGGCTGAGCAGGCAGGCAGGTGAACAGGTACACACCTTCTTTATCGGACCAAGGGTATTTCTGTGATGGTTTATTTGAGGGGAGAGGTTCCATCTCCAACACCTTGTAGATCTGCCCGAATGCCATGAGTCTGAGAGCATGCTGTTGGGGAAACAGAGTCAAATGATTTGCTGTTAAAAAAAAAAAAAAAAGGCTTTCCAGTGATGTCACCAGACACGAGACATAAGATTTAAAAAGATGGGTTAAAAATTGATGCAGCAGAGGCTGAGATATCCTGACTTTTAGTTTTTCTGGTATGGGTTGTGTCTAAAAACAGGGGATCCTATATTTTTTGTTTTTCATTTGGCCATTCCTGCTTCCTACATGTCCACTTCTCTTCAAAACCCGCGCCTCCTGTTTGCAACACAGGCTTTCTGTTAGAAAGTCTTAACCTTTCTCAAAAGTTGGAAACCTCCAGAGCCACAGACGACATTTTACAACTATTTTACAACTCGATGTCTAAAATCGGTGGAGTGACCTTTAGATACATAATATTCATACTGAAACATGTTACTCATTATAAAATTCTATCCTTATACTGTAATTATATATGTTAAGTGAATTCTCTGTAGTAAACACACAGATACTGTATGTGTGAGCTAGAAGATTTGTACGGACATGTAGTTACAGTACATATTCTGTTTTTACTGCAGCCTTGTTCTGCTTTGTCAATTTATCTTTTCAATAATGTACATTTTTGTTCTTGGATGAGTGAGTGAAATTGAAGCTGCTGTGCTCATGCGGGACATAAAAGGAGCTTGTACATTTTGGCTGGGAAGCTGAGAGAGACAAAGTTAAGCTAGAATATTCAACTCAATGTAATGATATTCAACTTCACAAATGTTAGGAGGCCTTGTCCTAACAAGGAAGCACATGAGCAAACTTGAAATGAACTGGTAATTTAGCATTAAATATATATCAAATATCAGATCTGTGTATAAATAAAGGTCTACATATATGAAAGAAACTTATACTCCTGAGCTATCTTGCAACGCACAAAATTGTCCTCAAAGGAATCTCAAGGGACCCTGCTTTTTCTAATGTAAATATCAATAACATCAGCAAATATACTAACCAATATGTCCCAGCATTCATTTATCATTCTCGAGCTACTGTACACATTCTCAATCTATACAAACAATCAGAAAGATAACCAGAACGGCTCACAGGGGCTCTGCTAATATAAATCCATTAGGGAGGTAGAGTGTCTCAGATATTCATGAGGCTCGGTGTAGCTCATTGACACAACAGCTCCCTCTCTCCTATCTGCTCTTGTATCTGCTTCAATTATCCCCATTGACATTCCAGCCTCGTTCAGGCTGCCTTCAAAGGAAATGGACGGCAGGATTCACTAAGCCATGCGGCTCAGAGGCTGCCCTGCTCAGTCAAGTGTGTGTGTGTGTGTGTGTGTGTGTGTGTGTGTGTGTGTGTGTGTGTGTGTGTGTGTGTGTGTGTGTGTGTGAAGGAGGATGTGACAGCACGAGTGCATGCACACAAATACTGTCCTCGGGGTGTCAGAGATGGATTTATGGCTCGCAGTGGCAATAGTTTCCCACACCAATCATTAAAATGCAGCACAACACAGCTTCTTCTGGAGACGCACACGCATACTTGCACAAGTATGTGTGTGTGTTGTGCGTGAGCGCAGATTGTGCGGTTTGGGTGATGATGGGGTCTTTCTGTCTGCTAACAGGCGTGTTGCTTACTGATTCCCGCACGCTGACAGCTCAGGGCAAGAACAGCTGGGTGATAACAACACTGTCTTCAAGCTGCAGTGTGCATGTGTGTGTGTGTGTGTGTGTGTGTGTGTATACCTGTGCGCTGTAGGTAATGTCCTCAGCCTGCTGGTCGGTCATGTTGGCTAGTGTGTTTGTTGGCTCTTTCTCACATGGGTCGTGTAAACCTGGACCACCTGGGGGAGGTGACAGAAGATGACACACACACACACACACACACACACACATACACACACACACACACACACACACACACACACACACAGTCAGTTGTTTTCACTTTATGTGTGACTCTGCTGCTCGCCAACATTTAATTAGGCTTCACTGTCATGACATAAGTGACACTGGGAATCTTGACTATTAAAAACAGCAGCAGCAGCAGCAGCAGCAGCAGCAGCAATGGGGGTATCTAACTGGTATCAAACTGGCAGTGAGCTTTTCAAACCAGTCACTCAAATCCTTAACTTTTAATTGTACCAATTTTGTCTTAAATTTGAATATGACAGGTGAATAAATATTCTCCTGCCAGTGAGGTGCACATTTTCTTCCTGTAAATGAAACCTGAGCTGTTTCTTTTGTTAAATTTGTATTCAAACATTCACGTACCCTGCTCCGTTCTCTTTTTAAATATTTAAAAAAAAAAAAATCTAATCTCAGTCCTCTCTGAACTAGAACCTTATTAAGCCTTGCTCTGGACAGACAAAACTGGCTTTTGGAGCTAAACTGAATTTGAAAAATCCAATAAATGAAACTCTCAAACATACTTTTGAATAATTAATTTTTGCTTTTCCAGGAATGCAGAACATTTTGTGAAGCAACCCTTCAGCTGTTCATATTCAAGATGCTTTCTTAATGATGATCTACCTCAGACAGCTGTGCTCTGCTGGCTCATTTACAATGTCTTGACCTCTCGAACAGAAACAGCTCAAAAATGTGGTAAGCAGCGCTTCGTTGCATCTCCTCGTCCGCCCCAAATTGAACTCTGATTGTCAGCCATGCCGAGAAATCGCATGAAAACAGACTCTCAGATCTTTTTAGCTGAATATTTAAGCAGCCACCGTGGTGGCTACGTACCTGGTAGCAGTATGCCTGAGGCCAGACACTCCATGACTCGACGCAGGGCTTCTCCTGCCCCAAGAGGTCTGTTGCAAGTGGCAATTGCCTTCTCACAGATAAGCTCTAAGGGCTGCAGGGACACAGACACACACACACACACACACACACACACACACACACACACACACACACACACACAGATGAACATGCAACAGTAAAGAAAATCAGGTGCCGTGCCAATAGAAGGTAATTGCCCCTTTTACATTAAACCTAGGTTACGTGAAATTCAACTCACAGAGAAATTAAACTTGTGTAAGAAGTGTGGACACTGGAGTCTTAATTCTTCAGCATAATACAATACACACAGTTCATTCATTTATGGATGACATTTGAGCATAATTCTTCGCTTTCAATAAAGATGTGATCCTTCTGTTACAGTGGGGTGGCAGAAGGCCTTTTGAAAAAAATCCTAACAACACAATGAAACGTATAAAAGTTCAAAAGGGGGCTGAAGACTTTCTTTTCATTTCAACACTCAAACACAAGTAATTACAGCCAAAGACTCACCCATCCTTTGAGAGGCTCCCAGACGGGGTGTCTATTGCACATGTCTCTAAGTATCCTGAGAACAATAACGCAGGACTTGAGCCCGTTCACTCGAGCCTGAGACGGAGACGGGAGAGATGGAGGGAGGCAAGAGGGAAGAAAGAGGGAAGAAAGAGGGACGAAGGGAGCAAATCGACGGGAAGAGGGAGGGAAGGGAGCAAATTGAGTGCAGGGGGAGTGGTATTTGTGCAAATACATGCATGCATACACATACAGATAACAGCCTGCTTTACACCACAAAGCCACAGTCATAATGAAGTGATTGTATCTGTCTGAAACTCTGCCTGAGCTCCCCACAGAAAGAGAACATTCTGAATCATGTTTAAGGTGCTAAACATTTCTTTTAATATAATATCTCTTCTAGTTTTGTCTCTGTCTTCAGAAAATATTTATATCCTAAACTTGTACTTTTTTTTTTTTTGTCGGTAAGGTAAGTGAGTTGGGAGACAGATGGGGTAGGGTATGGGAAGGGGAATAAAAGGGAAGCACTGACATACTGTACAGAGCAGGCAGGTTCACATAATAGCCAAAAAGAAAAACAAAGTATCAACCATTGCTTTTGTAGCCTTACGATACTTTTTTACATTCTTATTCTAACTTCTTTTATTTCATACACAGTTGTAAAGTGATGTTGTAGGTGATGTTTAGTATTTGGCAATTTTTGTTGATTATGTTCTAAAATAACATCCTGCAAATTAAACCAGAGATGACAGAACATAAACACATATCAATATCAATCACAGAATTTGTAATAATTCTAATATATACATATGTTAAAATTTGTTAATAAAAACATGTGGTTTTTCCACACTTGCATCTTTTCTTGATTAGTCTAAACTGAGTGGGAATAACAAGCAGCACACTATCAGCCCACAGAGAGTGTATCTCCTTTGGTTGAATCGTCAGGCTACAATAAGCATCGGGCAGGAAGACAGGAAGTGAGTGGGTGCCGACCTGGAACCACTTGGCGTGTCGCAGCGCTGCCAGGGCCAACAGACATCTGTGTCTATCCAGCACCTCCCCCTCCTCCTCCTCCTCCTCCTCCTCCTCCTCAGCCTCCACTCTGTGCGCAGCAGCACCCAACACTGCCACAAAACAATAACAACCCAATATAGAGAACGTAAAACACACACACGTCATGTCTGAGTGTGTGTGTTTGAATTTTTTTTGCGCGCGTGAATGTGTGCAAACACACGTGAAACGCGCGTGTGTGAGTGCACACATACACACACACATGCATGGATATATTTGGTACATACAAGGTGCTTTTCATGCCATAAAGTTGTTCCTCTCCTTGTAGAAAGAGCTCACTCTCCACAGTTCACAGATGCTCATGAACTCGTCCTCACTCTTTAAACCGTGCGTCATTTTCAACACTGCGAACAGTCGAACATGCGTCAACCGCGTCACATGTCTGCATCCTCAGCACATAGTAACAACAGGATGCGCTGCTGCTCCTACACATGAATGTGTTGAAAGTTACACACACTATTCAACAGTGACTGAGTAATTTCCATCTGTCACTGACAAATCAGTGAAAGGGAGAGAAACTTAGGTCACAAGGGAAGAGACAACTTTGTGGGATGGAGAGCCCCCCCCACAGACATACACCAAACAAATACCTAAGGAGTGTTTGATTTACAGTGTGTGGGCATCGCTAAGACATATCCAGTCTTTTCACTGTGCCCAGCAAGGTAAATCAATCTCGCCTTCATGTATTTGAAGAGGACTTTATTTATTTTGATCCAGTCTGCACCAGGCAGGAGTCAAAATAGGATTTTTGTTTTTCTTGAGGTGCACTTGATTTCACAGGCTCATAAAAAAAATGGTGCAGAGAAAGCAATTCAACACCCTGTCTGGGCAAGCGCAGCATCAAGCGCTCCTAAAGTGGAACTGAAAAAAAAAAAAAAAAATCTAAGATAGTTTGACCCAGTCTGAGACAAACACAACACAGGAGGGATCAAGGCAGGGTTTAGTCAGAGCATTGTGGTTGGTAAAAGAGGAGCATTCCTATACTTTTATATGTAAGCATTTGATTCATGTCGCCCAACACACCAGGCTGCTTGAGTTACTACTTCTCTCGCCCCATTCTGCTACTGTGAGAATCAGCACACAGCCTATGATATGCAAGGCGAGCTGAATCAGACGAAGCTGTGTATGAATGAGTGCGGTTACATGGGGTTTCAAAAGAGGGTTTATTATATGTGGGGCCCCACTGGAAGTGAAATAAAACACACTAAAGAGCCCTGTGGGTACCTATGAAACACTAAAACTAGGTAAATATTTTCCTCATCACTTTCCTGTAAAGATAAAATCCTTCCCTCAAGAGGTATTAAGTTGAAATGTCAAATGTGTCTGCTGTGGAGCAGCACCAGAACATCTATCTCACATTACCCCTGAACTCATCTGGCCATTATTGCAGCGTCGCTCTCCCTCTGACTAATGCATGTAGTGGTATAGTGGTGTGTGTGTGTGTGTGTGTGTGTGCGTGTCTGTGTGATGTATAATGGTGTATCTCAAGGTCTGTCAGTGTGGTCCCAGCTGCATGTGGGACCACTCCGCTGCTAGTGGATCATTATGGTCTTTCTCCTCTCGCTTGTCCTCCCACTGTTCTCTCAAACACTGTGCTGGCCGCTCCCTCACTCAGTGCTCTTCTTTTATCATTATCTCCTTCTGTGTTACTGACGTCGTCTTCTCCCTCAGTCTCATTAAAAAAAAAAAAAAAAAAACTCTTTGTTATCTTTGCTATCTTTCCTATCTTTGCCACCGTGTCTACTTTAATTTACTGTCACAGCACCCTCCCTCCCTCTGTGACCACAAAAAGCAGCGAGCAGTATCTGGGCTTAAAGGGCACACATGCATGCAATACGTGTGCATAGACGCAAGTACAACTTATACTGAGTAGAATGATTAACTGTTTGTGATCCTGTGAGAAATATGAAATAAAACACACTTCGCAAGGTGACTGTGAACTTGCTGTTAGCAAGCACTATTTTAAATCAATATATAGATTACCTGATTTCAAATCAGAAGGCATTATCGATCCATTTAACAGCAAATAATCAAAGCTTACTGCAAGAACTGACAGCTTTTATACTCAATAAGTGTGTGTACACTTGTTGTGCAGGACTTTGTATGTCTTTCAGACATATTTTAACCTCCTAGCATGTTGCTAATAACAAGGCAAGTTTTTAAAAGAAGAGGTGCTTGACACACGACAACACAGCTGGTATTTACGCCTGTCAGTGCGTGTGTTAATGTGTACAAGTATTAGAGTATTGGCCCTTTAAGATGTAACCCTGTTAGACAAACTGTGCCCGCATCCCTCCACCTCCAATGGTGCCTGATGAAGTCTAAGCATTTAGACGTCTAGTGTGACCGGTGTCTTTATCTGTCAGGTACAAAATATGACTGTGCGTGCGTGCCTTCTCTTCCTTGTGGCTGAGCCAACGTGTGTGCATGCCTGTGTGCTCTTCTTGCTGCGCGAGGAGAGAAAATAGGAGCAGTCTTCTCCATCTTGCCGTGGCACGCGGCATGATGTACGGCAAACCTTCGTGCTATCTCTCATCTCTTTCTGAGACCTGAGTGTCTAGTTGGACGGGAGCCACAGGATGGATGGGCAGCTTGCTACTGCTCGGTTATTGATTCCCTTGGCCTGCTGGCCTTGCTTCCCCGTCCTGCCTCCCACCACCAATTATAACCAGTTCCTGCCACCCATGAATACACGGGAGGGGGGTTGGGGATGTAGGATTGTTACTAGACTGAACACCAGACAGTTCCTGTGTGTTTCCGCTCTGGTATGTGTCCTGTACCTGTCGTGTCTTGTGTCAGCATCAGTTAATGAGGTCAAAACCTCTTGTTTAGGGAAATAAAAACAATCAATTTCTACACAGTGACATATACATATACAATATAGAATTAAACTGCCTGTGTGTGTGTGTGTGTGTATGTCTGCTGGAGAGTGTGTCTTTTCCTATCTCTGAGTTCCTACCTCGCCCGTTCTTCTCCTGCTCCTCCTCTTCCTCCCGCACTTCCTCCTCCTCCTCTTCATCCTCCTGCTCTCCTTCCTCTCCATTCTCCATCTCCCCTTCCTCCTCTTCCTGCTCCTCCTCCTCCTCCTCCTCTTCCTCCTCGTCTTCCCTCATGGCCGGTGAGGTGAGGGTAATCTTCAGTGTGAGTTTGGGCTCTGTTGTAGTTTGTACCAAGATGGCTGCCTCGGGTAAGGAGCTTGCGACCTCATATTTCTCCTCTGTCAGCTTCTGTCATGTGTCAAACAGATATAACTGGATGGTCAGAGGCCAGCGTCACAACATGAGTTGTGATGGAAAAGAAGAGGTAAATAAATTTCTCCTGCTGCTGCTTCCAGATGATGCAGCATCACAAGGTATGAAAAGAGAAATATTTTGAAGTCAAAAAACTTATTTCTAAATGGGAATACTTTGGGCCACAGGATGTTAATGATATCCTGAGCTAAAATTTTGTCCACACATAATACTGGGCAAAAACGCTCATGCTCAATGCTAAAATAGTCATGCTATATAGTTATATTTGTACCACGACTGCAACATCACATGTATCACACGCAAAGAGGCAAATGGACAAATGGTACAAGGACATGTTACTAGTTTAAAGCCTCTCCTAAAGATGGAAGGACAAATAAGCTTGGACCCTTCAAAAGCAATCTCTACAGAAAAGATGTATGATACAATAAAACAGATGCAGAATAGAAAAATATAGAGGTTATTGAATGACCTTAATATTTTAAAAAGGGCTAATTAGGTACAGTAGCACAAATCCAACACAGATAATGACAATTATATCATAAATAAATATTTTACAAACTAATTATGAGAAGGTATGATGATACATCTGATGAAGAGAAAGGAACAAAAAAAAAAAACAAAAACAAAAAACTGTGAAAGGTGAAAGCTACAAGCGCAAATCCCCCATTATGAATTTTAGACACACTGTAATGATTTTGTGTGACTGTGTTTATGTGTCTGCCTCTAGCGTTTCTCAGAGTCACATATTCATTAGTGAAACTGTCTGTATGTGCACTATGCTTCATTCTTAAGGAAACTAATGGCACAGAAATCACTTCAACATTCATGCAACAACGACAAAAAATCATCTGCAATAACTTGTGCTCTTTCTCACTTAAACAAATGAAGACACATCAACACACACATCATCCCTCGTGCAGAAATAGGTATATGCACAGACTCACAAAAAAAGGATGAAGTCATTACTGACCATAAATATTGGATAAACGCAGCATAAGTTGTGCAGTGGCCCCAAGGAAGTGTTTGTGTAATGTCTAATAAGTGGCTGTTTCTGCTGCTCTAGCTCTGTTTGTGTGTATTTACTTGCATTAGCTACGCTGTTGGGAAATAAATTTGTTCATACAGGTACATTATGGGCAGCCACCTTCCATGTGGGACTAAAAAAAACTGATCCTCAAGTTTTGTCATGTATTTTGGGGATAAGACTTTTCTGGGTTTCTGGGTTACAGCTGGGGGTAGGGTAAAGGTTTAGCATGTGGCAGTTATGTTCAGGGTGAGGGTAAGACCCCAGGTTATTAAGTCATGTAGCGTCATCCTTAGTGGCAAAAACAAGCGGTTTGATGAGGCGGCTGAGGAGAAAATCTGAATCTCTGATGACTGGGCCTAGATATTGGATTACCTCCCTGCCCACACAAACAGACAACACACATACTTTAACTCCCTGTCTCTCTCCCTCTCACATCACTTCGCTGCTAAAAGAAATGAGCAGAGAAGAGGTGCAGGGCCAGAATTTATTCAATAAGAAATTTCTGCACTAGCCGGCCAGTTTAGGGAGTTCTCATCATGCTAGAAGTTATGGCTCCTAACTGATCTTAAGTGAATGCAAAAGCTCACCTGCCTGCCACTATATATCAAATTATTTATATGATTTGCAAGGAGGACTCTAATCTGCAGGAGTTTAAGATGAAGAATAATGTTTAATCCCTAGATCTCATGCATTACAAGCAAATAAGTACACAACTCATGAATCACAGCTTGTAAAAAAAAGAGATGAAAAATATGTCCTGCATGTTTGTGCCTGGATTTTGTGTGTGTGCTCTCTGTGTGCTGCGGGTGTTTCGTAGCTTGTGTGTGTACATGAACGTCAGGAGCTCCACTTCTGGGCCATGACTTGTTAATGAGGAAACGTAACACTGAGGTAGTGAGGAGAGTATTAATCACATATGACTCATACATACTAAAACAGCTCTCAACTTATCACTTGGCGGCACTGCTGTCTCTTGACTACTTATGCCAAAGCTCACAATGCTTCTCTCTACGCTCACACATGAACTTGAACACACGGCAACGTGAGTTGGACAATTCAAGCAGAAACACTCATAAAACATGGAAGCTGTCAAAATAGCTGTGTTTCTGATACTGGAGAGGAGTGTGTGATAAAAAATACTACTTCTCGGGATCTGATTTGGCAGACTAAGATGCATCTGTGTGTGTTTGTCGGGCAGCATTTTTGTGACCAAGTGTATAAAAGAAAACAAAAGAGAGAGAACGGGAGACGGCGTTACGTGGCCTGAATGCAAGTGTGGGTCTGTGTGTTTTAGTGTTTTGTGCCTCTCACCTCTATCTGTGTGGGTAAATTGTGACAGACAGTGTCCAGCAGTGTCTGTGTAGGTTTGTCTCTGCACATCAGCACCAGCTCTAGGTCCATGTCGCCTTTGATCAGGAGGCCTTTGGCAACCAGGCCGATCCTCATCACTCCACACAGCACGCCACCACCGCTGGACTCCCTGTATTTAAAGGAAAATAAACCATAGGTAACAATAAAATCGTACACAGGTTTTGTCTATAAGGACGCACACATTTTGATTTATAGCTGAAGAACTGAAAAAGTGGCATTTAACAGGAAAATCTGTGCTTGGCTGTCAACGAGTTAACAAGATAGTGTAAAGATCTAAAAGGAAGATGACCTTGTTAATGTATGGCTTCAAAGAAATCACTTTAATATCCTAGTCGTATCCTACACTCAATCCTAATTACAATTTTGTGACACATCTAATAAATCTAATTTCTCCGCAGGCAAGACAGCAAATCAAAAGGGGTTGCTAACTTCATTAAAAACAAACAATATTTCAACATAAATCAATATTTTATGTAATAATATCTTGTATTTTAAAGGATTAAAATAGAAGGTGCCAGTTAACATTGCAAAATAAGATCTGACAAGGCAATTCAAGACTTAAATGAGAAGTAGTGAACCCTTAATAAAAAGATTCATGAAGATAGCCGACCATGGAGACTGTGCCCAGAGACTGTCAAGTGGTTAAGTTCATTTCCTCCGGAGCCAAAAATGATTCTGCTGCCTGGGACTGAGTCCTCGCAGAACTTCCTCTGAGCTTCTTGTGACTGGACCACACACTTTGTGGCATGAAAAAGACTTCACTAGTTTGTCTTAGCTCTAAAACCACGAATCACTTACACCAGTAAATTAATCAACAGACAATTAATTGACAACAAAATAAGTAGCCCTTTATTTGATTCATTTATCAAACAGGTCTGTTGCCAGTTTCTCCGATGTGACAAGTTTTATACCTTTATGTTTTTTATCTGGGTGCAATTAAATGAGTTGTTAAACATTTTGAGGAAATACGCTCATTCAATTCCTTTTGACAGATGAGATGAAGTACATATAGATACTTCATGTTAATTAGTCACATTTAGATGTATGATTAAGCTGTTTTATTAACTTTGAATAGTGGTATTGATCTTCTCATACAACTCAGCAATATAATCATAATTGTGTACTTTAACACTGTAGATCAGACATAACAAGCACGAGGTTCACATTCTGTGTCATATCATGTTTCTGACATTTTATAGACTGAACAACTAATCTATTAATTGAAAAAGAAATCAAGAGATTAATTGATACTGAGAGCAATCATTAGCTGCGGCTCTATAATGCGTCACTACCACCCTACCTGTAGCTGTCATTGGATTCCTCAGTTTCATCGCCGGGCTCATCGCCAGGGTCATCCTCCTCTGTGCTGTCTGCTGGTTGGCTGTTGACCTGGCTGTGGACGTCGCTGCTGCTCTGATCCAGCCAATCAGACACGTGTTTGAGGGCGCACTCGACAGTGGACACCAGCGTCTGAACTGCCTCTAGCTCTTGAGAGGAAGGGTAGATGGTGGAGTGTTTAGCCATGACATGGCGGTCATCGTTACTAAAGGAACGGAAGGACCTCTGAAAGGGAAAGGAGAATGAGAAATAGCATTTAGTATATTCTGATTAAAACTGTGGGAACGGTAAAAAATCCACGCATACCTGTACACAAACACACACACACACACAAACACAAACACCTTTGTCTACAGCAACAGCACCACTGCAGAGAGACTTCATAAAACAGATTGAGCTTTGATCCATCAAATCAAGCTTTGGTCTCTCTGTTGCAGACAGACTTCTTTCTATCACACGCCTAAAATTACAAAAAAAAACAAAAAAAAACACACACACACACACACACACACACACACACACACACTTGTACAAACAACTGTACAACAAAAAAGCACCACAAAGACGCACCCTGCCACTTCCTATCCCACGAAACGTGTTTACAAACGGCTTTATGTGTGTGCAGGAGTGTGTGTTGCCTCTCCATGCAGACAGAACATATATCTCTTTTAGTGGAAAGAAATCAATTCTTAACTCTGCGACAGTTGCCGTTTAATGGCACTGACCCTGACATGCATGTATGTGCACAACCACACACACACACACACACACACACACACACACACACACACACACACACACACACACACACACACACACACACACACACACACACAAATATGTACACACAGCTATCAGAAATTCATCTGACCATCCTCTCCACCTGCGTTAATTCAATCAGACATTGTGGCCCGGGGAATTCATGTCAGAGCTTCAGTCTTTCTCATTTGCCCCTTCCTACTCTCTGGGAGGTTTGAGGAGGAAGAAAACCATGGGAGGAGGAGATCAGGGGGGAGGCAATCAGAGAAGGGTAAATGACAGAAAGTAGAAGGGGCATGAAAACGAGAAGAAAGGGAATAGAAGACAGCTGAGGAGGGCTGTGGGAACAGTGCAGAATCTTTAAAGGGGGACAAAAAAAACAGTTGTGGGGTGGGGGGGGATTCAAAGATGAATGGGAAAGTAAAGAGATGAAGCAGAGGAGCAGGTGTAACTGAGGCTTTTCTGATTTGCACTCTGCAGTTAATACCTCCCAGATGGGCCCCTGAGCTTTTGCGCATTCGTATGAAAACACCTTTTAAACTGTATGTTATGCCTTTTCCACAGCATTTCAGTGGGTGGTTGATTATGCAGCTTCATGTTAAATGGAAAACACTTAAAGTTAGATATTAATTAAACATCAGACCATTCAGTATTAACTTATCAAATTTAAATGTAAAACCGTTATTACAGGGAATGAAAGTGGCTGCAGAGAGAACAGATGAGGGGGTAACCCTTGAAAGTGCATTATAATCTATTATCACAGCTTATAGCATTTGCTGCAATACACATAATGTAAAGTCTTTGGGCGACTGTAAAACAGATAATTAATAAATCACAATGCTTGTCAGAACACTTCATTTCATATTAATTGCAGAGCTTTTACAGCTCGCAGCAACACCACTTCTGTTGTACCCTCAGTTTTAATTCTCCTTTACTATCTGCACGGCTTTTGTGTCACTGTTTACATAAAAATCACATCAACCAGAGTTTTGAGGTCACTGTGGTTTTGGCTTTTTCATCTTCAACTTTTTTCTCCCACCGCCTTGATCGCTGTCGCTCAGTTTCGCTGTGCCTATCACTTCCTCTCTTCTCTCTACTACGTCCTCCGTTCTGTTTTAGAAATATGAAGATGTTATATCTGAGAAAAACAATTAAGATTACAAGCTGCTGTTCACACCATCACTTGGTAACCTGAATCTGAAGGATGAGGTCCTTTTTTTAATCATTAGGGGTTATCACACTGCGCTGGGGAGCCTGAGGTGCATAACCCAGTTCAACATGAGGAGGCTGCTCTCAACAAGCTGCAGAGTACACCTGCTTATCTCTGAAACCCACATTTCCCTTTATTCGCTACACACATACATACACATCTACTCAAAGAGAAACGCACACCAGGCATGATAACCAACACACACACACACACAAACAGCAGAGAGATGACCTTTTCACCGTAGTATGGATAGTGTAGCTTGAGCACTACTATCAATCTACTTGAAATCCAAGGACCACGTACAAACACACACACACACACACACACACACACACACACACACACACACACACACACACACACACACACAAGCACATATATGTACACACGCGAACACACACTTCATCCTACTCCTAATTGAACTGGTGACATTCTCTTTCACCAGAGTGAGTGAGATAAAGCCATTAACAGAATGGAGGACAAGCACTACACAATAACTGCAGCCTCACTGCCTGTGTATCTCTGTGTGTAGAGTGTGGCACAAACATTTGGCAGGGTCGGATGCTTCATTCCCACTGGGACTCAATTGTCATTCTCCAACACCCTGGCAAGGCGAACTATCGTGACAGAGAGTGAATTTAGAAACCCTGAGTATTAAAAACCTATGCAATCTGTTTATATTTTTCTATCATCAGATCTTTTTTGGACCAACATTACTTGCATGTGACATTTTCAGACGATTGATACTTTGGTGTAACTTGAAATGCTGAAATGCTTCATTAATGCTATGAGGAATCTGTCCAAAACATTAAGCCTCCATGCAACAGGACCAAAAAAAAAAAGTCCATACAGATCCCACTAGTGCAGAGGATTACTGGATTGGCAGAAAATGAATCAACAATTTTGATTGAAATAAAATATGAGGATTTCTTACTTTCCTCTACTGTATATGACTCAAAAATGTATTTAAAAAAAAAAAAGCAATTTGATGATTTTTCACATCTTTTGTGACTAATTGAAAAATAAGAGTCACATTAATCAATAATGAAAGGCAATCCAAATGACCATTGGAGGGAAGAAAAATCACTTCACTCTTCCTTTATTGAGCTCTTGAGTCATTTTTACTGTTAGTGATTTTTCACCTCTTCTCTTTTAGAGAGGAAATATTATATTTTGGCTTAAGTGAAAAGCACTGTATTAAAAAAGTTGATAACTGTGTAAGTTTGAGTGTGTGTACCGATGTGCATACGTGTCTATGTGCAAGTGTACAATGCAGTGTGTGTCTTTTATACTTGTGCGCCTACTCAGAGCAGTGTTTAACAGACCAACAGTCGCAGATTTTATGAGCCGTTGCTAATGGGAGCCTCAGCAGCCATAAACCCTCACTGTGAGGAGAGTGGTCTGTGTATCTATGTGTGCGTTTGTCGGTGCTACTCGACCATGGGGGAGTTGCTGCCTGGCCTCTCTGATCACCATGTAAATCAGAGCAGTTAAGGAGGACCCAGTGACAGGAATCGACCTCCTCAGGCCAGCATGTGCCCAGATAATGTTGCAGACATTTAGACAAGCAGCGCGGCGAGGAAGCTACTGTAGCCAAGGATAGGAACAGATGCAGGACTTCACGGATTCACACTGATTTGAGAGAGAGGTTGAGTGACATGTCAGGATGAATTTTAATTCCGCAAGTGCTCTGTGTTGAAGCTCCTCAAGTTGCTCTCATACCCTCTTCATCCTGATTATTGTTATCAGGCCTGTGGCACAATGCTCTGGTATGCCATCAATGAGAAGCTGACACTACATACAACACACACAAAGACACACACTCAATCTGTTACAGACGGCTGTGGTCATCCTTGAGTTGCGCCCTGACCTCCACACAACCTGGAGGTCAACTGCACAATATGGCCCCAAGTGCGTGTGTGAGAGTGATAGCAATATAAATCATAAATGATGGTTAAGCCACAAAGGATCTCTTTCCAGACGCTGGGAACAACCCTCAGTGTCACTGACATAAAATTACACTGTGTCTCATTTCAGCACAGTGACCTAATGCTGGTCCTCGGAAGTGAAAATTAAGACCAGAGGTCTTGTAGGGCCAAAATTAATACTGCTATGTCTCCAAGTTCAATATATGATATGGTGTAATGGCCATAGAAAACTAAACTATGGAAACATTGCTACAACAAAAGTAAGTAATTATTTTTCAGGACATGTATGTCATTATTATGCAACTAAGTACAAGATAAACATAATTTTAGCACACTGTGGAAGGAAAACCTGGACACACGCCTACATTTTGGCATGGCAGTCTTCCATCCAGGTCAGACAGTCTATTTTCACAGTTTGAGGATGAATTTAACATGTAGCTCAGAAGAAAAAAATTCCACTAAAGCCCAGACATCCAAAACCACGGATAACTTTGTGAAAAAGCTAAATATAAAATATATAGAATCAGTTTGAGGGAAGCAAAAAAATAACTTCCCATCTACCAAGAAATCAGAAACAGACATGAACATATTTATTTATGAAATCCCAGCTGTCTGAAAGCCGCTGGCACACACCATGCGTGCTTCTCTATACAGTATACCTTCATACGCCATTGTTGCATAGTGCTTTTAGACCACACACTTACCAATTACACTCCATTTCACGGTCCAGTGAGGCCCACCAGCTGGCAGGCCTATGTTACATAACCACATTACACAGCATTTACAAGTCACTGTGTACTAAACTAATGTGCACACACATCCAACACAAAAAAACAAAACAAAATCCAAAGCAAAAATCCCACAAATTTGTTAAAATTATGATTGTCGTAGACACACAAAACCCATGGCCTCGATTACACAATGTATTACATACACATACACACATACACTCATTACTTCCATCACTTCCATCCTTCACCCCATCCATTCTGCCCCTAATGCTCTGCAGTAAAACAATTTCGGTTCAGGGTGTTGTGGTTAGACATGCACCCTGTCAGTGGCGGCTCCTTCACTTCAGAATCAAGCAGAATCCAATGACTTCCCTCTCCTTCGCAGCCTGTCTCTCTCAGGCTCTTCCTGTCTCATCCTGTCTCTCTGTGGCCATCTGCTATAAATTACATGACCCAATGCCAAGGACAAGACTCGCTGGAACAGTATCAGCTGTGATTGGAGGGATACTCTACACCCGTGTCTTTGCTAGAGACGTGTTTAACAGAAATCTATCCATTACCTATTTTACCTATTATTTAACATTGTACTTAATATGTGTGTGCTTATAGGCAGTGCTCCTGAGGATGTGTTTGTGTTCTCTTACTTTTAATAAATCAGGCGCCTAAAGTCTGTGCTGAGTGCTTAGATGACAGCACACACAATAGAAGGTCTTGTGAAGAGAGAATGAGAGATGAGGATGCAGAGAAAAGCCTCTAAAAAGGTAAACAAACAAGGGAAACAAAGGTGAGAAATCTGAAGAAGGAGATGGAGGAAGATGACGAAAAAACTGATTTTAATATTTCTGGCCAGCAGCAGTAGAAAACACTGCTATACCTTCGTCACAAAACTGTGCTAAAAACCAAGAAAAACAAATATTCACCTGTAAACACCAGGCAAAACCGTTTTAAAAGTGATATTTGAGACAAATGTCACACATCTTCAGACCAACATGAAACCGAGAAGAGTCGAAGGAGAAAAGAAAATTCAAAAACATGACAAAATAGGCGAGGAGTGATGGGAGCAAGCAACACTGGAAAAAAAAAACACAACTCAGTGCTGTCTCTGTAACATCCAGCAGCCTAGGGGAGATTGCATTAAAAATTCATCCTGTGATTTATCTGCACTCTGCTTGGCAGGTCGGCCCGGCCACAATCCTCTATCCTGTTTTATTGTGCTCCCTCTCTTTCTTGCTGTCTTTCAGGTTACCGCGCGCACAGTCAGACATTCACACACACGCGTGTGTGCGCGCGATGGCAGGGTGCGCATATATCACGGCTGCATGACCTGGCAGCAAAACAACAACCGGGCTGGAACCCCTCTACTGTCCTGATAAACATGAGATAAAGAAGGGAAACATGGAAAACTAGAGTACAATACATACAGAGCATGTCATCATCTTCTGGGATGACATTCATCTTAAGTCTTCTTTCATCAGTCAAGCTTTAAAACCAGCCTCCCCAAATTACAGTACCCAGTTTACATTGCATTTTGCAAGGAAGAGATTGTTTTATCTGTGTCCTTTGCTCCCAGTAATATGTCGCTGTGGTTTAAAAGGTTTATTGCCTGCCTGTAAAATATTATTGCCAGACTGCTAAAAGCACATGAGCTGACATCGCAGTGTTTCTGGACATTCTATTACAGTACTGAGTGTGGGCTTGTCTACATGAGGGACAATACCGGAGCACAATAAAATAAACATAAAACGATGTCATGTGGAAGAGCCGGAAAAATGTTCTAATGAAATATGTTTTCCTGTTTCGACAAAAGCTTTTAAAACCTTACAGATTTTTTTTTAAAAAAGCAATTCAGTTATGTCTTCTATTAATTGTACAACTAAGAGTATTTTATATTCAACACAGTATGAGAAGTGGAACTGAAACAAAAAAAAATTCTTAACATTTTCCGCAGTGTGTCTCTCAGAAACAAAGGAGTGAACTCTACAAGGACTGAAGTATACAGCAAAGCCAGACAGATACAAAATAGTCAACCCAGAATGTATTATGTGTGCATCTGTTGGCGTATGAAGATGCAGACAAATACAGTGGGCATGTGTATTCATTAAATGCAGAGAGCTCAGAGGAAAGTCGATGAAGAAGCTGTTTGGTGTTTATGCGGTTTACGCTGTGACACCCTCGCCAAGGTCACCCACAGTATTTGCTGCATCACCATAACTCAAGACTAATCACAGTACTGTGTTTGCGATCTGCACGCGCACACACAGACACACACAGACAGACACACACACACACACACACACACACACACACACACACACACACACACACACACACTAGTCTCATTACCCTTGGTTATTTATGAGCTCAACCATGTACCATCTTCTGCAATGTCCAACCTCAGCACCTTCGGCAGCGTCTTGTTTTCGTTCGATCTCTCTCACTCATTCATTTTCCTCCTCCCCGCCCTCCTTTCCTTCCCTCCCTTCATTCTTTCATCCTCCCCCTACAACAACCCACTTCCACTCTCTTCCTCTCTGTGCTCATTTTTCCTCCTTCTTCCTCTTGTTCTACTTTTTAATAATTCATCCTCTGCTCTGCCCCCCCCCCCCTCGGGGGAAAAGCTCCCACTGTCACAGGCCAAGACCATTAATCAATCCCTTGTCTTTCTCCTCCTCTCTGCTTCTACCTCTCTCATCTCTTAACCTCCCTCCTCTCCTCCATTTCTTCACTCTCCACTTCTCTTTTGGCTCTCCGTATCCACTTTTCATCCCTCGTATTTCTGTACATCATTTATGTTTTTGTGGTCTTATCTGCCCTCACTTGTCATTCTCCCCCTCAACTGCTCCCTTTGATCTCTTCAGCCGGCCTCTCCTCCCCCTAAACAGCAGTCCTTTTTTTTTTTTTTGCATCTTCTTCCTCACATAACATCCAGCTTGTGCTGTTATGAAAAAAAACAAGCCTCATTTATTCTCATGTATACACTCATTCAGCTTTAATGATTGGACCAATGAAAAACAGGTAGGATGTTACACATTCATTCCAATCACAAGTTGTCCTCAAATAAGAAGAAAAACTGCTAGAAAACCTACTGATCGACCGGTAGCAATTGAACTGATTGCTCATTTTTTTTTCTCTCTCTCTCTCTCTCTCTTAATCACCACTTTCCTTTCATTGTTCTTCCTCTTCTTCAAATCCTCCATCCATTCTCTTTCATTCCTCTGCCTTCTCCTTCTCCTCTTTTCCCCAGTGAGAACGCATAACTCTCATCTCCCGTCATCTCCCCAAAACACAAAGCTATACAGTCCTCGTCTGCACCGGCTCTTATCTTATCCTTTCTCCCTGACGTACACACTCTGCTGTCATGTCTAGAGCCAGTTATCAGATTGAACTCTTGCACCCCCGCAGTCTGCAGGACGTTTCCCCGCTCTGTTGTGGGTGATCCATGTGCGCAACCGTACATACAAAAGCATTCCACGCAGCAGCACCAACAGACGGAGAGGTGTATTACCATGCCTGCAGGAGGAGTGGTCGCGCGTTTCCTTCCTTCTGACGCCCCGCTTGCTTGGAGTTTGCTGGGCGCGTGGTGGGGTGCGGAAGCGAGGTTACCGGTCAGGATGTTGCTGTCACGCCGTTTCCCCTCTTCATGTGCTCTTCTGTCACTCCAGCCACCACTCAACGAGAGGCTGTACTTCTAAAAGAGATGGAGAAGCAGAGAGAGGAGGAGAAGAAATGGATGAAAGGTTAATCAGTGCCTCAACAACTACAGAAGGAAATGTCAAGGGGAAAATTGCAAAGCTGCTTCTGCTGAAACGTAGATTTCATCAATAGCTAAATTATTAATATAACAAAATATAGCAAAATATGTAGGAAAAACAGTAGCGTGGTCATCATCTACTCAGCATCAACCCCATCACACTCAACCTGCATCTGTCAAACCCACCACCTTGATTTTCCCCCTGTATCACTCAACTCTCTCTTCCTCTCACACATGTGGTTTTCCCAGCAGGGGTGCAAGTCCCTGTCCTTGAATGAAAGATCTGACAGAATGGCTGATCAACTCATGTGGAGATCGACATGTGAACACACACACACACACACACACACACACACACACACACACACATACACACACACACGCACAAGCATGCACACAGGCTTTCATTCATTTTTCATGAGCTGCCAGGGGTCCGAGGGAGGGGGATGTAATACAAATATCTACTTGTTTTCATACACTGGGTTACACACTTAAGGCTTACACACCCTCTTCCATTCATATGCAGCCACACACACACACACACACACACACACACACACACACACACACACACACACACACACACACATACACACCAAACTAGTTGACAGACTACAGGTGATAAAAACATACATGTGTCACTACATTCAAGAGAGAAAAAAATATAAAGTATATACGTATACATTATATATATATATATTACACATAGTTGAGGATGTTACCACAGCGAGCACAGCGACACACTTCAGACAGAGGGAGGAAGGAAAAAAAACGAAGAGGAAAAGGGATTGTGTGTTTTTCTCCTGATAAAACTCAGAGATGGACTTAAAATTGCAATGTGCAGCGCCTAGTGAGAGCTGGACCTTTGTGCTGCAGAGTGCTCCTTCCAATACAATGTGTGACAGTAATGTTTTTCTCTGGCATTTATTCCTTTCAAAGAACAAAAATAGAGGTGAGAGTAAAGTAATACTGAAAAAAAGATGCAGAGGCTTTGTAGAAACCCAGAACACATGAAAGAAAACTGATACATAAGTTGTAATGAGTTTGTGATTTTGTAAAAAGTAAATTGAAGTCACTTGTGACTTCTAACTTTAGCTCATCTTCGGGCTCTGGACGGTAAAAGTAAATATCTGGTGCTGCTATGAAAACACAGGCCAGTTTTATCAGTTCGGAGCGAGCCGACATGATGCACAATGTTCCTATTCACAACATGAAATGTCAACAAGTTTCACCACTGACAGTACGCAGACGCATTTGGTCACACTCAAACCAGAGCAATGACATTTATAGAGCTGTTCATGTCTGTGTGTTTTCACGTAGAAGTGTAGGAGCTGATTTGGCAAAAGGTTCAAGGACTGCCCCGTTCAAGCAGGTGTGTGTGTGTGTGTGTGTGTGTGTGTGTTAATTTCATTAATGAAAATTGTGATAAAATATATTCATCCACGCAAATTTTTCCATGATGAAGGTGAAATGACGATGAGACAAAAACAAAACAATGGAAATGTTCTCCTTGAAGCAACAGAGATAAAACTGAGATTTGGAAATGAAAAAAAAAAACCACTAACAAAAACTAAATGCATGATGAAAATAATGGGGCCTGGTTGCAAATGATGATGTTTCGAGCCACTTCATTTATAAAGCTGCAGAAGGAAGGAGTGATTGCTTCTAACCTCACAGTAGTTTGCTGAAGTTAGATGAAATTGCCCAGACTTGATCTTCACTTAAAGTACTTCAAATGTTTACAAAGTTTCATCGACTAATTTATGGATGATTTAATCGAGACAGAAATAACAAATGTTTTCATCTACTGGATGTGACTAAAAATAATGAATGATAAAGTAGTTTCGACTTTTGGTCTCAGGACTAAAACTACAATAAATCTAAAAATGGCTGCCAAAATCAACACTTTAGTGTCAGAGGTTCATTACTGGATTTGAGTTTGATTTGTAAAACCAATAAAAACTGATAAATTAGATTAGGTAGGTACTGCACTGATGTCGGAAATAATACAGATATTTATTGGGCACAATCCATTTGAAAAGATTACAGCTCTCTGCTGTTAAACTTTGCAGGACTTTCACTGGCAGTTTTCCTTTATTTACACTCTAGCTGATAAATAACCAAGTCTCTAATGTGTAGAGTATCTCATCACCCTGAGACGACATGCATCCAGGGCTCTATCTGGATTCTGTCAGGAGACACAGAAGATAAACACACACGACTGTTGGTCTCTCCTGGAGTAGACCTGCCGGGGGATTAAACTGTGGTGATGCTGCAGACTCTCAGTGAAAGCTCACTGGGATCCAGGGAGAACAAGAACAAGAGGGAGGGAGAGAGGACAGAGGGAGAGATGCCGTGAGTAGTTCGAGAAACAACGGAGAAAAACGGAACCGAGAGAGAACTGGAAATGAGCGTGAACAGGAGCGAGAAAGACAAGGAGGGAGGGCATAACGGGCAGAGAGCGGAACAGCAAGGAGAAAACGAAGCCGTGCAAAGGGGACAGAGGGGAATCGGATAAACAACCAGCGCCAGATATTGAGCTGGCCCCTCAGGCAAACAGACTCCACCAGAGACTGCTCCTCATTTTCTATCCAGCCCTATCCCTCTCTGCACCACTGGCCGCTGGCCTGCCTGCTGACAATTACCTCCTCAACACACCTGGCAGCAGCAGTGTCCGTGTCTACGCACTCGTGTTTTGCCAGTTACCTTAGAGCCAACACTCATCACTGGAGGGTGGGGGGAGCGCTCTTCCAACTTGTCTTGGCCACTTAGGATTGTATGCACATGATTATAGTGCATGCACAAAAACACAGGCCGAGACACAAACACCCTGCCAAGAAGCATAATAACAACGTGCCAGCCCCCATTCGATTCTCGTTATCAGAGCAATTCAATGATAAACAACAACACCAATTCCCTCCCTTTGTTTCTCTCTTATGGCACTTTCCTTCTCATTTAAAAAAAAAATTTAAATCAAGAATACAAGAATGAAAAAATACTGCGCAAATTATGGTTTAAAATATAATAAAAGAAAATAGAACAGTGTTTGAATCATGGCTTAAATGAAGCCCCGAATCTAGAGAACAATATGTGGCCTACAGTATGACCGCCCTTCTGTCTCCCACTGGGACTGCAGGCGACTGAGGGGACCGTGTTTTCACAAACTGTATCTGTCCATTTGTTCATGAATCCCTCCGTGGCTTTGTCTTCCTTGGGCACACACTGACCAATTATTACATTTCTCTCTGCATCCACCCTCTTTTTTGTATACCTCCCACCAGTATCCATTCTCCACTCTTCTTCTTCTCTCTTAGTCACACCATCCCGGTGGGCCATTAATGTGTGATTGTGTGTTTTTCTCCAGAGACGGAGAGAAGAAAAGGGGAAAAACTGGCAGAAGACCTGCCTCATTAATGCTGGTGGTGGCTCATGGACATTAGCATGTTGCAAACACACACACACACACACGCAGATTTCCACATGGCACAAAAACACGCATACACACAGGAATGTGCATGGACACCATCACTGTCACCTCAATTTGGTCCCATAGTTATTGAATATATTTGTCCTAGAAGTTTATGCGCGCTGCGCGCACACACACACACACCACACACACACACACACACACACACACACACAACCACAACACACCACACACACACACACACACTCACACACACACACACACACACACACACACACACACACAAAAACACAAACACCTGTGCTGTGTCCTTCTCCTGCCTGCGCCAAGAGCTGGTGATTACATCCTGTTTTCCCTAAGGAGATGAAAGGAATTGGGCAGAGGATAAGAAACGAGGGATGGGAACTGATTGAAAGATGAAGGAGAGACAGTCGAGCTGAGGAATTTGCTGAGATGGCTCTGAGCAGCAATTTACACCTTTCTCATCTGATAACCATCAAATGAGATGAACAGTGGAACAGAAAAAGTGAAGAGACAGAGGATTGACAAAAGCCAGAGAGAGAGAGAGAGAGAGAGAGAGAGAGAGAGAGAGAGAGAGAGAGAGAGAGCTAATTAGTGTTGGAGGAGCTTATTTTCACAATGTATTCCCTTTAAGACTTCTGATTTTCTGCTTAATATTGTAATTAGATTATCAGACTTCTGCATCATTCTGCTTTCGAACTTCTTAAAATGTAGTTGACTGCCACATTTAGTGACTGTAGCACGGTTGGAAGTGAACAGTTTCATCCACCAACCACACTGCCAGCAGGATACCAGTCAAAGGACCTGTGATTAATGGCTGGTTAGACGCCAGAATAACTGCAGGAAAAATGTTTACTTTACAGACACAATTAAAATCTGCTGGCAAAAGATAAATAATGAAACACCTCATTGTTTTCTTGTCACTAAATTAGTATCTTTTTTTATTTTAGGGAATTTCAGCTACAAAAACCATCTGTAGTGTGATTACAACCAAGAAAGCCTCGGGCCTCGTCCCAGGAAAAATCTTACTGCCACAGTTTAGAATAAGATATTATCTCCAACACACAGTCCAGACAGAGCACTGATTTACTTTATATAACCTAACATCAATCTACATACTTTACTTCCATGTTGCTGGCCATCTCGTCCCCTTTATTTCTTTTGTCTCTTACTTTCCTTTATTTTTTGGAAAAGGCTTTAATATCCACCTACACATGTGTGGATGCATGTTCAACTCAAACAACATACTGTGTGTTTCTGAGTGTTCCTCTCTTGTAATTACATGTTTCCAGGTCTGTGTACGGTATAGTTTATACGCATTTACAGCTGCAACAAACTAATTATTTTTAGTATTGATTAATATGTAGTGTATGTAGTAGTAGGAGTATTTTGATCCATGGTTTAGTCGATAAAATGTCAGAAAAGCTAAATAAAAAATGCCCATCACAATTTTACCACAGCCCAAGGTGATGTTTTGAAATTGCTTGTT